GCGGGGCTGGGCGGGGCTGGGCGGTGCTGTGCAGCAGGGCTGCACGGGGCTTTGCGGGGCTTTGCGGGGCTGTGCGGGGCTGTGCGGGGCTGTGCAGGGCTGTACCTGGGTGGAGTGCTGCAGGATGGCCAGCAGCCTCTCCTGGATCCTCCGGAGCAGCTCCGTGCCTGTGCTCAGGCAATCCGGCCGAAGGAGGCGCAGGGCGGAGGCCAGGTCCCGGCACCTCAGCAGCGTCTCCTCTGCAGGGGCAAGCGCAGGGCCTGCTCTCTTCTCCCAGCCGGCCAGCCCTTCCTCCCACAGGTGTCTGGAGCATCTCCAGAGGGCCAGGCTTGGCTGTCAAAGCTCGGAGCTCACCTGCCAAGGGCAGGGTGACCCAGGACCCTGTGTCGTGGACTTTAGACCCGGGAGAGGGAGGGGCCTGGAAAACTGGCTGGCGGGGCATGGGGCGCTCAGCACAAGGGGGGGGGGCAGCGGGTGCAGCAGGCTCACCGAGGAGGATCTGCAGGGCGTTGGTGTGCAGTTCCAGGTTCTCGGTCTGCTGCTCCACCACATCCATGTACTCTGTGTCCTGGCTGTAGAAGCTGTAGACACAGGAGTAGGCCAGCACCTAGGGGAGACCCTGTCAGTGGAGCCAGCCTGAGTCCCGGCACCTCCACCCCTCCAGCCAGGCCCACTCAGCCCCCTGCAAACCCTTCCTGTCTGCCTCCCCCTGCTACAACCTTTCGAGCCTGCTCAAGGGCCCGGCAGGCGTCGTGGAGGAAGGTGAAGGATTTGGGTGGGGGCACCTCGTGGATGGCAGAGGCCTGGTTCCGCAGGTTCACAGCAAACTCCTGTAGGAGGAAAGGGAGGTCTGCAGCCACGCGGCTCCCAGCCGGCCACACCCGTGCAGCAGTCACTGAGCCCCGCGACTTCCCGCCCAGCCCGGCGCTGCCGCTGCTCACCCGGGCCCGGTGGTGGAAGGTGCACCTCTCATTGTAGTCCTGGAACCGCTTCTCCTGGCGGGCGGCTCTGCTCACCTGGGAAGGACACACGGACGGACGGACGGACGCCTGTGGGCGCTGTTCTGACAGGCCGGGCTTCTCAGGAGGGCCCCTCTGCCCTTCACCCAGTTCCTTCCATGCCATCCTAGCGTTCCTTCACATGGGGTGTGGAGGGTTGCCCCGGCCACACTCCTGGCCCTACTCTTCCTGGGCTTTGTCTGGTCACTAGATGGGCAGCGCTCCCAGAACCCTCCCCAGGGTTGGGGGCCGACAGCTCTGTCCCGGGGCCAGCCGCAGCTGGTCTGGTCCTGACTGGCTGGGCTCTGACCTCTGACCCCTGAGCCCGGCCCTCACCATGGCGGAGCAGTTGTAGTAGTCCTTGTGACTTGGCTTCCAGGACTTCAGGCAGCGCCAGCAGAACCCATGGTTACATCTGGCGCAGGTCATGCTGTGGAGGACTTGAGCTGTCAGGGGGGCTGCCTCTGGATGAGGGTGCCCGGGGTGCCCAGGGTGCCCGGGGGCTGGACACACCACTGACAAGGTCCCACCCCAAGCCCTGCTAAGGACACCTCTCTCTGGACTTCCCAACGCAGTGGACTCAGAACCTGGGGGGAGAATCCAGGAGGTGACCCTGGGGGATGCTGGGTGAGGGCAGAGGGGTTTCTGCGCTTCAGTGAGCTTGAGTTTCTTCCTTACCGCCAGGCCCCCCACACCATGCTCCCTCCACCCCCGCTTACTGCAGACACCCCTCATTCTTCTCGATGGGCGCCTGACAGCTGGGGCAGCGTTTGGAGATGAGCTTGGCCAGGTGTTTGCTCTGCGCCTCCACACTCATGCCGTCATAGTAGCCGCCATCATCGACCCACTGGGACATGTGGCCGCAGCTGGCAGGATAGTGTGCCTAGGTGGGGGGAGTGTGAGGACACAGCCAGCTCAGCCAGGCAGCAGGGCACAAGGAAGCCTCTCACATCTGTGTGTGAGAGAGAGAGAGGTGCTGGGCAGGGGCCAGAGTGGGGCACCCACCTCAGGGAAGTTACAGCTGAAGCAAGAGGCCCAGCCACACTTAGAGCAGGTGGTCCCGCTGCCCAGGCCCTGGCGGCACAGGATGCGATCACAGCCCTGGGGGTTGGTGCACCATGTCAGGTTGGAACAGCTCTCCACATAGCATCGCAGGAGGGCCTTCTCATACTGCGGGCAGAGGCAAGTTGCTATGAATGATGGGAGAGCAGGACTCTCCAGGAGGCTCCAAATGCTCTTAGCCTCTGGAGGCCAGCCTATCCTCTGGGGCCTCAGGCAGGAAGGGGTACCTTGGAGATGACCTCTGGAGAGGAGACAATGTCACGGATGAAGGCTCCCGTGGGCTGAGCAGGGCAGTCGGCAATGGGGCAGGTACAGTTCAGCACAAAGTTCTGTTCGATCCGAGTCGTCAGGTACTCGTTCCAGCAAGACTGCCCGGACAGAAGGAGGGGCTGATGAGGGACAGGTGCCCTGGCCACTGACCTGACACATGCTCCCACGGCTTCATGGAAGGCCAGAGATGGCAGGCTCCTAGGCCTACCTCACAGCGGACCCTGCCTTCCAGATGCCATGGTGTCTTGGGATGAAATCAAACTGCAGCTGTTTTTGAGGATGTATGGGGCTCAGGCACTGGCCTACCAATAAATACTTATCAGATGGACATGGAGGAGGTGCCAAGACGGGAAGAGCAGCGTGTGATGGCGCAGATACGGGATCCGATGCCTCTTCTGGCCCCCGCAAGCACCGGGCATATATACAATGCACATATACACATGAATTAAAGACAATAATTTTTTTTCTTAAAGGTGGAGAGAGAAGGTGGCCTGGGGAACAGAGCCTCCCTACTGGCTCTGGGTCCCCTATGCTGGCCCTGGTGCATTCCTATGGCTAATTCCCTGGGCCCCAGCTTTCCCTGCTTGAGGCTCCGCCTCCAAGGTGTGTGTCCCTGAATTCTGATCAACAGCACAGCCATCCTCACCCCACCCAAGTTACCAGCAGCAGATTTCTGTTTCCCAAACGCCTCTGTTGTTCCAGCAACCACCCTGGAGCAGGTGTCCTTAACACGCTGCAGGAACCTCCTGATAAATGGCCTCACTCTCTAAGCATGGTCGCCAGCCTCTTAACCTGCCCCTCGGCTTGTGATCACGTGTTCCAAAAGGATCAATAAAAGCCCCTGGGACGCAGTGGACGGGGCCACGTGAAGAATCTGTACCATTTTTTCACCCTTTACCTCTTGAAACAAAACTAAGTGGGAAGCAAACTAAAAAAGAATCTGGCATCGCTTTTAGATAAGCAAGGGGGAATTTCTCCAAGTGCCCACTCTCACAGGTGCACGGTGCCCCGTGGTCCCTTACAGCCCGGGACAACAGCACCCTGGGGCGGCCCTCTACTTCTTGGCTTCTGCCACAGCCACTGTTTAGCCTAGAACAGTGCTGCTGCTGCCCTCTGCCCGGTGTGCCTGCCAACACGGCTCGTGCTGGTGGCCTCCCCTGCTCTGGGCCTGTGGTTGTCCTGTGGCTCTGCCATCTCTGCCTTATTCACAGGCTGGGACTTTTTTTTTCTTTCTTTTCCAAGACAGGGTTTCTCTGTGTAGCCCTGGTTGTCCTAGAATTTGCTTTGTAGCCCAGGCTGGCCTCGAACCCAGAGATCTGCTTGCCTCTGCCTCCTGAGTGCTGAGGTTAAAGACGGGCACCGCCACCACCTCAGGCCAGGCCCCCTGTCTCTGCATCCCTCCCGGGGCCCTTAGCCTTGGTTCTGCTCTTTCCCTGTAGTGTTGCCAGCCAGGCCTCCCCACTTCATTCCCAACTCAAAGTCCCGCTGCCCAGCTGCCCTTACCACAGCATCCAGTGAGTGGCTTACACCTTACACAGACGTGACAGCTGAGTTTCTACTCAAAGCCCCACCCTTCACCCCACTCCCTGCCCCCAAATTCCTCTCAGACACAGGGAAGTGGCACATTCCATCTCCCCAGAGGCTTAGCTCAAAGGAGCGTCTTGATTCTCCCATCCGAAGCCTGCACATCTAGCACTAGTCTTGTGGGCGCTGCCTGCAAACATATCAAAGCCCACCTCAAAAGCATCTTCGTCTTTACACAGCTCTCCGTACAACAGCCAAAGGCTTTGTTTTGGTTTTGGTGGGTGGGTGCAGTGTGTCTGCACTGGTGCAGCGTGTTTGCACTGGTGCAGCGTGTCCGCACTGGTGCACATGTGTCCGCACTGGTGCACATGTGTCCGCACTGGTGCAGCGTGTCCGCACTGGTGCAGCGTGTTTGCACTGGTGCAGCGTGTCCGCACTGGTGCACATGTGTCCGCACTGGTGCACATGTGTCCGCACTGGTGCACATGTGTCCGCACTGGTGCAGTGTGTCCGCACTGGTGCAGTGTGTCCGCACTGGTGCAGTGTGTCCATACAGGCTGCAGTGTGTCCGTACAGGCACATGTGTGTCCGCACTGGTGCACGTGTGTCCACAATGGTGCAGTGTGTCTGCACTGGTGCAGTGTGTCCGCACTGGTGCACATGTGTCCGCACTGGTGCAGTGTGTCCGCACGATGCTGGCCTCTGCGGGTTCTGGGGATCTGAACTTTGGTCCTCGCTGCACGGTGAGCACTTCATCTGCAGAGCCACCTCCCCAGCTCCCAGCAAGTTTTCAAAAGTGTAAATAAGATCTCACCACCTTGCTTAAACTCATCACGGCTTCCCACAAATCGCCATCTCACTCGCCCTCCTCATCCTTTCTCAGACCTCCTCCTGAACAGACGGTGTTACCGCTGCCACACAGCCTGCTGCTCTCTGGCTACGGCCCTCTCTCACAAGATGTCTTCCCCTAGCGGCCTCCCTTGATCTCCTCAATGTAGAGGGGAAGCCCCATCCCTACCCGGTCACTTGCAATGACATCACCCAATGCATCTTCCTTCCTGAATTTATCATCAACGATGGAGGGGTGAGGCGGGTGGAGAGGCGGGGAGGGGCGTGCTTACCTTACAGCAGCAGTGCAGGCAGCAGAGGGACGGCGAGTCGTCATGGGGCCCTAGGGGGCTGATGCAGACTGGGCAGTGGTCAGGACGCGTCAGGACCACCTGGGCCTGGGGTACTCGCAGCCCGGCTGCAAGCAGCAGGGGCTCTGGGTCGTCACTGTAGCTCTGGAGCAGCTGCTCGGTGCCCCAGTGGGAATGGGCCAGGAGGTGCCGGGCTACGTCAGGCTCCAGGTTCAGCGTCTCCTGCACCTGCCGCACCGTCTGCTCCATCAGCCCTTCCACCTCCTGGGGACTCATGGTGCGGCCTGCAGGCAGCTGTAGAGATGCCAGGGCCAACATCGCTTCTGGGCTTAGGGAGAGAGAAGGGCAGTGCTTAGTGTCTCCACTCTGTTTACCTATCTATGAGCTCCCACCTATGACCCAGAGCTTACACTGGTCTCGGCAGTCTATGCATCACCACCTGAAC